TTTTTTTTCTCGCAACTGTTTTTTTTTTTTCATTCAGACATTTTCCCCAGAATTGTTAAGATATAAACTGGAAATGGCAAGTTATACAATTCAGTTGTGAAGAAAAAAAAGTCAGCTTGCAATTTTTCTTACAATTGTGAGTTTATATCTCGCAATTCTTTTTTTTTTAATTATTGTATTTCTTATTACATAACTCAGAAATACAAGAAACACAGAAAAGAAACAAAATAAATAAATAAAGAATTGAACATACAGGTCACCGGAGGCATCACATACAGTTCTTACATCCTTCTTACACAGTTATTTTTATAATAGAGGTTACTCCCCCAATATTAATTGAAGTCCGTAAGTTTCAGTCATTTTACGTCCATAAAGTTCAGTCCATTCAGTGTATTTCCATTAAGTAAATACTTCACATATATGGAGAGGGGAAAATATATCTCGCAATTCTGAGAAAAAAAAAAATCTGTTTGTTTGCGCTTGCCTTTAAAATCGACACGTACTGCGCATGTCTACGCACGCGCATTACGTCACCGTTTTCAAAGATTCCCGTATTGGGTGTTTACACGGAAACAATAACGGTGGCGTTTCAAAAACTTGCACTTTGACACCCGTTTTCAAAAATATGCGTTTTCAGTCCCCCAAAACGCCGTTGTCGTGTAAACGAACAGGCAAAACGCATAAAAAGTTTCCCGTTTTTGGCTGAAAACGTTGTCGTGTAAACGGTCAGTTGTGAGAAAAGAAGTCAGAATTGTGAGATATAAACTTATAAACCTTAAAAGACTGAACCACTATGAGCTAAGAGGTTGTTATTCGAAGGTATATGCTTTTGTTGAAGCCATAAACCCGCACTTTGAATTTTTGTTTTTTAATAATTGTGTTTAACAGCAAGAATCCCGGTGAAAAACTATGAGAATAATTGTGCCAAAAGAACACTTTAATGCCCACCCACATCCATGAAGCACACCGAATGAGGTAATCGAATAATGTAATCTCCCTAAGATTAATATTATGATTGAATCCATCATTAAGGCATTAAGTTAAAATCTGAAACCTCTATTCATAATATTGCTTTCTCCATTGAAAAAGGAGTCTGAATCAGGAGAGAAATATGCACAGATCAACATTATTATGGACTATGGACTTGTATAGCTGGAAGCAATGGTTTGAGGTTAAAATGTCTACTAAATGATGGATTTGTTTCTTACGAACACGCAGCTTTTCACTTCACCAGATGTTAACTGATGGACTGGAGTGGTGTGGATTACTTGTGGATTATTGTGATGTTTTTATCAGCTGTTTGGACTCTCATTCTGACGGCACCCATTCACTGCAGAGGATCCATTGGTGAGCAAGTGATGTAATGCTACATTTCTCCAAATCTGATAAGCAAACAAACATATATACATTTTGGATGACATGAGAGTGAGGAAATGTTTAGCAAATTTTCATTTTTGGGTGAACTGTTCCTTTAACAGATCTTTTTAAAATCCCTATGGGAAAAATACTTCCGGAACAAAGCCACTGAAAAGTGGGCGGACAATGTTGCACTCTATTGTGACACTTGCTTTAGCAAACACCTCTAGTTATTATCTCAAGAAGAAGCAGGGGCATGATGCAACAGACAGAAAGAAAACAATAAAATGCTTAAAGGTATCAAGATAACCATGATGACATTTGTTATCCTTGCGACCTTTGATCTTACAGCAGCTGTGTGTCATCACAACACTGTCTAACGTGGTTCAATAATATCTGCTTCAAAAGCGTTTGAGAGCAGAAGGTGAGTCAGTAAAGCTCATTGACATTTGACCCTCACCGCTCACTCTAGTCCAGGTTAAGCCATTCATTTTGACATTGTTAGGCATGACCCAATGACCAAAGTATACCACAAACTAATCCAAGCACGACTGGTTAAACTGCTTTAGTTAGCTTCCGCAGGTATATGTTTGGCAAACAGCAACTGTAAAGATATTTATATTCACACAGCTCAGCACCCTTTCTCTCTCTGAAATACAGCTCTCTTATCTTTTGTCATATATATGGATATATATCAGGTGCTGGAAATTACAGCAAAACATGATAAGATTGCATATCAAGCCATTAAAGATCAAATATATCCAATGCATGAACTAGACTAGAAGGCCACACAGCTGAAATACATGCAGGTGTTAAATAATATATAGGTCATATGAGGTAATGATGTATAATAAATCCTAATTGACATGACATAAAATGTCATTGAACATCACAATATGATACAAATAATGAACAAATAGGGTTAAAATAAAAAAGCATGAAAAAAATAACTTAAACTTTTAAACTTTAGTTCAGAGATTTTTGTTTTTCAGATGTTGACTGTTAACCCCCATGCAAGAAGAAGAGTTATAAATAAATAAATAATAAATACATACATAAATATTCATAGATATTACAATTATATAAATATTCTTAATGTTGCGTTGAGATGTATGTGGTGTATATGCATCTCTCTCTCTATTATTTCTATCTAATATTTTCTATTATTGTAATATTAATTATAAATATATATAAATAATCAAAGGATATATATCATTGTAAAAACTTAACTTTAATTCAGAGATTTGTTTTTCAGAAGTCGACAACCATGTGAAACCACTAATTTAATAAATAAATTAATTAAAATAATTAAATGTGTTTAGATGTTAAATATATATTTATAATAAATGTATTACATTTAGTATAGAGTGTAAATGTTTTTAGATGTTAACAACCATGTTAAACCAAGAGTTTAGTATGTAAAATAAATAAGTAAAATAAATAAACAAATACATTGTATATATAAATATGTAAATAAATATTGATAATTTTTAGATATTAATTATATAATATATTTATATGTATATTTATATTAAACATAAATATAGAATATAGTGTAAATGTTTTTAGATGTTGACAACTATGTGAAACCAATGTGAGTTTATAAATAAATAAATAAGTCACTTTTTTATATTTGAATGACCTATTACCTAATCATATCTCTATTAATTTTACTTCTATAAATATTTAAACAATATTGTCTATGTATGGAAAGCCACTTGAATACCAAAAGTGTCCCTTGAAATATAAGAGTATTACTAAAAATAGCTTATTATAAAATTTAAAAAAAGTATTCATCTAACGCAGTTTTTTTAACACGTTTAAAGCGAACTCTCCTGCAGTTTAATGAAGTACTCTGAATGAGGTGTCTGTGTTGGACAGGAGGACTGATATCCAGCATGTCCAGCTCTGGTCAGAGAGACTGTGTGCTGGTCATTGTTCTCATGAGAAACACGTGCACCCCAGAAAACACACTTTTAAACAGAAATAAAGCCATGGAGGACAAAACCTGCAGCTGAACAGCATCTTAAGGTGTTGCATGCAAGACACAGACATCATAATTCAAACAGAAGCCTCATATGAATGGCAGCTCTGACATACTGTATGAATTATGTATGTTGACAATAACATCTGCCGGCGCAAACGATTTCAATATGTCTACTTATATATGCATGTATATGTGTGTCTTTTACCTTTTTGAGGCACTTGACTGATGATTAAAAGAAGGTGTCACTCCATCGATGCTTTAAGCTTTTTCCTCCGCTTGAAAGTTCCCCAAAAACACTTCAAATATTCTTAAAAGTACTTCAGAAAAGGTTTAATAACAGAACCAGAGCCCGAGTGTCGTCAGTGTTACACTGTGAATCCAGCAGCTCTTTAAAACTTCATGTACTTTGCTGGTCAGGAAAGCAGGTTTGGTTCCAGCGCGGAAAACGTAAGTCCCGTGGGTCTGTTCGCACGTTAGATCTTGTCGTCTGCGTTAAACCGTGTGCTTGTTCGGCGTCCGTTCAGTTTCTCCTCCGGACTGAAGGGGATATCGTCATGTGTGTGAAGTTTCCCGCGGTCTCGAGAGTCTCTCAGTTTCAGTCCAGTGAAGTTTGTGCGGTTACTCACATGATTGTTTCCCGTTCAAACACGGACAGTGAAACACGCTGAAACATTGTAGCGCCGCTGAGCGCCGCTGCTGCTCACACACACACACACACACACACACACACAAACACACACACTCTCTCTGTCGTCTTTCTATTCATTGGAAGAGGGGAAAAGTTTTGGTTTTTACAAATGAATTATTATTAAAAAGAATTATAGTTTTGTAACATTGTAATGAAATATTTTTCATTATCATATATATTTTGTGTATAATATGTACATATTTTATAGAATATATATTATTCTATAGACCATTATTCTATATAATATCATTTTAATAAGTAGTTTTAGAATGTTTATGTATTATATTTATTTATTATAATGAAACATTTTTAATTATTATAGAGATATTTAAGATAGATAGATTGATACGTGCCTTAGATACAAACATTACTGGTGTGCATCTTGAGACAAAACAAAGGCACTGACATATTTTAAGATCAGTCAGTGCAAGTTTCTTTCAGTTGAAACAGCTCAGATTTACATTTTAGTCTAGGACTAGGCTTAAGCCTTGTCTGTGAAACCGGGGGATAGACTTGCACTCTATTCATTTACTAAAAATGTCAACAATTCTGTGTTTTTCTGTCAATATGGGGTGCTGTGTGTACATTAATGAGGAAAAAAAATTAACTTAAATGATTTTAGCAAATGGCTGCAATATAACAAAGAGTGAAAAATTTAAGGGGGTCAGAATACTTCCCGTACCCACTGTACATACATATGTGTTTACACACACACACACACACACTGCCACACGGGGGCGCAAGTTGACCATGAAAAACAACTATAGTAAATGTAGTTTTATTATCAGGGTTCACCTTCTTTCTTAAAAACTGAATGAACTGAGAGGCTTTCTAAGTGCAATCATGATAACAATCAGTCTTCATTTTAAAACAAGTTATTTATTCATAAATTATGTAATGCCTATAAAATCACAAATTAAAATAAGTTAAATCCAGTGACATGACATTAGACATTAAAGATGAAAACTTTGTAATGGTGCTTTATTCACATCATACACAAATGTATTTAAATTTAAAAACTAAACTTTTTTTTATTTCAAGAATGGATTGAAACAGTAATGTTAATGTGTTTCCTCAAAAAAATATAAAAAATCCCATCATTAATGACAGATTTGATTTGAAGCCTAGTGCAATCCAACAGCATGTCATGTTTTGAGTAGTTTTTCTTGCCCCAGGCTTTGCTTGTTGCAACAACCTGTAACTCAATACAGCATACTAATATAACAACTGATCTGAGACCTGTTTGCATTACAAATAATGGCATTAAATCCATGATAAAGTGATATTCATTACACGAACCATCATACTAGTTCATGAATTCCAATCACCTTCTGAGTCTATGAAAATGTTAAAAAACGAGGCTGTCAAGTCATTTTGACATGGCAGACATCAGCAGCGGTGCAGGAAAACCAGGTTCAAAGCTCTGTCAGATCAGCCGGCTGACAGCCCGTCCCCGCCACTCAGTCATCAAAGTCAGGGATGTCATCGTAGGAGAAACCGCGATAACCCTTGGAGGCGTAATAGGCGATGCGCAGGTGGTAAAACCCAGGAAGAAAGACCAGGATTCCAATAACCAGGACTGGGATGGTGCGATCACGGTGCTGTGAGTGACAGAAAGACAGAAATATCCACTTTAAGAGCACGCCGGGTCAAATGTGTGCGCAGGTCATTAATAACTGTCAAAAATATGTCTTTTCTGAGGACCTCAATGTCTGTCATACACTGATCAATCTATAGGGTATTTTGTATTCTCATTTTCTGCTTGAATACACTTTTTTTTTTTCAAGTGACCTTTAAATGTTGCCTATTTCAGACCATTTCTTAATGCATCAATTTATTCATTTTAATAGATTTTTTTATAGTGCACAATTATGACTAATGTTGAGTTAAAAATCACAGAAATTCCAATCTGACTATGCAGACTGATAAAAAAACATGAGTGAATAAAATAAATACAATTGTATTCAAGTGGCCCTTTAAGTATAACCAATTTCAGAGTATTTTTGCATTAATTATTATTATTATTTTTTAATAGATTCTTTATAGTGCACAAATATGACAGATATCAAGTAAAAAAATAAAAAAATAAAAATCCCATAAATAAAAAAAAAATATATATATATATATATAACTGTTTAAACCATTCAAAAATGTCACTATAAAAATATCAGATACATACTGTGTCTGTGTTATTTCCAAATATGAAAGCGGCCAAGATCAGAATTTTAATTCTGATAAAAATAAGTGTTTTCTGAGGACCTCAAAGTCTGCCATCTACTGATCAATCTATAGTGCAAAAGGGTATTTTGCATTATCATTTTTCTTATTAAATATATGTATTTTTTGTTCAAGTGGCCCATTTCAGAGAATTTAGTATTTTAATGAACCTATTACAAATGCATTTATTTTCATTGATTCTTCATAACACACAATTCTGACAAATGGCAAGTTAAAAATCACTACAAAAATCTAAAACATATCAGGGTTATTTGCAAATATGAAAGTGGCCCAGTTTAAAACGTTTTTTTATAATCTCATTGTCTGCTCAAATATATATAGATTTTATATATAATTCAGAGTATTGGTATTTTAATGTATCGATTTCTTAATTTTTATAGTGCACAATTATGATGAATGTCAAATGAAAAATCACAAATTCAAACCTGAATATTCAAACGTTATTACAAAATTTAGATATTTATCAAGGTTATTTCCAGATATGAAAGCGGCCCAGATTGGAGTTTAAAATGATCATATTCATATATATATATTTCATTAAGTCTTCTCAAATCATTAGTGATTACTAGATAAAGATTTTTTTTTAAAATTTTGAATCAAGACATTTTAACATTAGAACAATAAAGTGGCAATAGCATAAACTGTATATTCATTTTAGAAATGTCCACAACATTTTCAGGCCTACATAAAGCTTAACAAATTACTTAATCAAAAATGTATTTAATTTGAATGAATCACAAATAATTTTAAGATGAAGTTCTAAAATTACCAGTGTTATATTAATATCATACTATTATAGTTTTATTTATATTTAGAATTTGTTTTTAAATTTTTCCATTTTCATTTTAATTTTACTTAAAGTATTAATAACTCTAGTAACATTTTAAAAAGTTTTAATTTATGCATACATTTATGCTAGTTTTAGTTATTTTAAAACATCAAATTGAATGAAAATGACAACTGAATGAAAATGAGACACGTTGCCTTAAACTGAAATAAAATTTTAGATATAAATAAAAGTTTATTTTATTTCAAGTAACTGTTTTTTAATGGATTTAGTTTGAGTTAACTGTAATAACCCTGAAAATTACAAAAAAATAAAATCGTAATAAAACTAAATTAAAGCTATATAAAAATATTTTAACAAAAACTGAAAAAATGACAACCACATAACTTAGATTAAAATTAAAATAGAAATTGAAAATAGAAATATAAACGCTAATTTAACATACTAAATACTATAACAATAATATATAAATAATACTAATAATGCAGCCTTGCCTGGAAGCACAATTAAGCGGTTGAAAACCTTTTTGTATGTTGTGCCTTTAACTTTCTATAAAGCATACAACTGCAGTTGATGACAGTCTGACAGAATGCAGAAAACATTGCTTTACATTCAAGAAATGCATTTATGCTGCAAATAGCCATGAGGCTGTTAGGATTACGTAAATCAAAAACATAAAACAACAGAGCAATGAAATCAAACTAATGCACACTAACAAATGCACGAGGAACGTGTCTAGAAATCTGAATGCGAAGCTAATAATGGCACAATCTGTAAAGGCAGAACATGAAAGCAATGCATGGAGCTGTAATAATGTGCAATGGCACTCACATCATTAACTTCAAAGTATCCTGCTAACAGGAGGGACCCGATGATGATCAGAATGGAGCCGATGAGGAAGAGAACGGTTGCCAGGGCGATCGCTTTATAAGGGACTTTAGGTGGACTTTTCTTAAACTGAGAAGAGAGAGAACATTGCTCAATATTACAACGCATTCATGCAGAATTGCAGTTAAGAGCAGTAAACTGAATGTTTTAACTAAGTACTGTAAAACACAGGGGAATGCAATGAAAGATCAATTTCTGCACTGATTTATGTGTGATATTTAGTATGTATAAATATTAAATCAGATTTAGACCATTGGAATTTTAAACAGAACTTTTAGATGAATTTTATAGGTTTTTCAAGATTTGTGTGGGTTGTATCAGTAATATTTTTATTTTATTGTTGTTGTGTGGTTTTTGTATTGTATGGAAGCCCGTTTCCGCCACTGAATAAAAAAATAGAAAAAGGTAATTGCGACTTTTTATCTCACAATTCAGATTTTTTTCACTGAATTGCGAGTTATAAAGTCAGAATTGCGAGATATAAAGTCAGAATTGTGAGATATAAAGTCAGAATTCTGACTTTTTTTCTCAGAATTGCGTGATATAAACTCACAATTGTGAGCTATAAAGTCAGAATTGCATGATATAAACTCACAATTGCGAGCTATAAAGTCA